CCCCCCCCCCCCCCTTGTCCCTTTCCAGATTCACAGAATTGCATCTCTAATTCCTTCCAGCTTTCACCCAGTGCTGAAGCCACTGTTCTTAAAAATTCCTGCCTTTTATCATCAATTCCAATCACCCTGCACTTTACTGCACAAGTATTTCTGATGCCACATTATGCACTCTAATCAAACACCTGACCTACTTTAAAATAAACCAAACTCTCCAAACTCCCCTTCCCTCCACCACCCAGTTCGATGATAGTAATTTCCTGATCTTGTTCGTAGCTCAACGCTGCAAATGACTGTTGGCATGAATGAATGAGTATTGTGCTCTGGTGCAAGGGCAGAAATTTCTCAGATGGAATTCTAGTGTTAGGGCTAAGAGAGGGGGAAAAAAGAACACGATAAATCTGTTTTACAGCCCTGCTTCTTTCTTCCTTACTAAAGGACCTGCAGCACAAACTCCCAATAAAGGTGAGGGACTGAAGAGCCAACAGCTGGACAATGAGGGACAGCATTACACCTGGCTTGCCATGCTTCACTGTTCAAAAACTGATGACATTAGCAATAAAATGAAAAATGCCTACACTGGGGGAAAAAAAAAAAAAATCCTTAAACTGCACATTCCAGTAGCTGAATAGTCTCATATGTTGATTATAAATCATTGCTTATGCTAATGTTACTGCATGGAAAAAAACCCTCCAATTTAATATCCCAAAGTCACTTTCAGAAACATTCTGATGTTTTCGCATTCTGTTTCAAGGTTTATTATGTAAATTACTCTGTTTTATTCAATCTCTTCAGCTCAACTCAGCTTCCCAGATTTTAGCCTGGCTTCTTAAGGAAGCAAACCTAATACAATTAGGATGTCTGTCTTATAATTAATTCATGGATGTACTGCTCTGTTTCAACTAAATCTGACAGAGAAGAGATTTCACACGGATTAAATTCCTAAGCATTTTGTGAAACTGGTGACTCAGCTGACAGAGGGATCCTATTAGGGCACCAACTGAAAGAAGGGCAGGGAAGTCAAGTTACCTGTTACATCCCAACAGACTGGATGGCAAATCAGTACACAAGTAGCTACAAAAGAGCTAGAGATTAATAAAAACATAGATGGGATTTGGGGAGAGCGGGAGGCAGTAAGGAACATACTTGAGAACACCATGTATTGCAGGAGGGAGTTGTCAAAGTCATGAGGAGAAGTTAAGGGGATGCTCAAAAGAAGCATGGAAATTAAAAGCTTTGCTGAGGGGAAGCTGGTGGAGAGAGTCACTCGAGTTCCACAACTTGCAGAAAAACTTATCAAAATGTCTCTCAACTCTAGATGCCAGTGAAATACTATTTTTACATCACCCATTGAGCTCAAGCACAGCAAAAAGAAAAGTCAGTAGGAAACCTCTAGTTTTGCTCTTTTAATGTATGTGAATGTTGGTACAGGATGTAGCACCACATCAAGCTGAGTGTTTTTCACTATTATAGTCCATTAGTAACAAAAGTATATTACTGTTCACATAGCCAAATAAATATAGCTAAAAGCAAGGTCCTGCCAACTGACAGCACATTAACATACCAAGACCAAAATGGAGACATGATTACTAAATGCCAGCCCTCCCTGCTTCATGGAAGTATCTCTGGAAAAAAAACAGTCGTTTTTCAAACTCTTTTCCCCAAAATCCACATACAGAATATCACCAGTGAAATTCAAAAAATAGCAGTTCATTTGTTAAAATAGATTCTGAACAACCTGCGGAAGCACTGCTTAGGCAACCTAAGGGAAATTTCAACTATGCACAAAACACGAAAACATGAGACGGTTGGAAATGCTGTTACGTGTGCTCTTCTATACCAGCAACAATGCCAGCCGTCCTGAGTGGTCACTGGTGGTAACTGGCAAAAATTCTGCTAATGGACTGTTTTTGACAGTGTCAAAGTGAGGGTCAGTCTGGCCTGCTAATGTTAGAACTGGGAGTGATGCCAGGACTTCCAGGAGCTGGCCACGGACTTAGGCTACATTACATAACCTCCTAATTGGCAGCAGTCACGCAGGTGCAGGTATTTCCATGGACTGTACTAGTGCCAAAGCCTGCTGGCTTTGTTCTGAACTCTTCACACACAAAAGAGCGAGCTTGGCTGGTCTATCAAGGTGCATTATTTATTGTTATTTTCCACTCCTGCTTGAATTTTCCAATAGCACTTTTTCTTGGAAAGATGCTAAATGTTGACCATTTATATATCCCTATATGCAATATTCCATGTAATGACCAGAAATAGCTCAATTAATTATAAAGATACTTTTAAAACACACAGGCAACAGGTGCCATATAATCAGGATCACCATCAACCCCCTCATATATTTTAAGGTCAAAAATAAGGCTGCGATTCTAGCAACATTTCCATGCTTACCACATACCAAATCATACCAAGGGTGTAGCTACATAAACAATTCTTTCAGAAGCACTGCTAACTTTTCCAGGCCACCACTGATTTGCTCATTCCCACTCCCTGCCATTCCCTCGGGCTGTTTTGCCACAGCTGTTTGTGTCTACACAAAGAGTCAGATGGGGAAACAGAACCAGGTTAGCTACCTGACTGCAAGAAAGGGAGGGAAGAGAGACAGGGGCTATTTTCAGTTTCTCAAACTAGGCCACTACGCAGCTGCACAAACAGCTGCACCAGCAAAACTGAGAGGTTGCACAGGGACTGAAATGAGTGGCAGTGCAAGAGAACTACTTAAACTGGCACTGACAGTAAAATAAATGCTTATTACTCTGGCTTCAGGCAAAGTGGCATGGTTTAGGTGGGTGACTTCAAAGGATATGACAACATCCAGCTCCTGTGGAATCCTGGGTCTTTTAAGCACCCTTGGAAATCTCAGCCTAGACATTCAAAACTAACAGTTTCTTGTTTCAGGGTAGAGGAAAGTTTACATTGTTTTTAAGCTGTTCTTACTAAAACTGCAATCATCGCTTTTACTAAATGTTGGCTCTCCCCGTTTAACAGTAAAGAAGCAGATTTGCAAACCTCAAAGAGGTCAGTTTCCAACACAGGAATCTTGTAATTGAGGGATCTGAAGGAATAAAAAAGAGGATCACTAACACATACATCTCCACCACAAACTGTACCACTGTGTACAGTTAACCAAGTTAGCTTCAAATGAGCTACATCAGCAACTGTATCACAATGGCAGCAGACTCTACATGGACTAATTTAATTGGCTGACTCCTTCCAGTAAACTCCTTTTTAATGCTAATCCAAAGTAATTCTACAGTATACTACAACCTACATACAAGGCATGTTACTTTTTCCCATCCTACCACTCATCAAATTACAAAAAACAGTCAACTTGACCTCCTTGTACGTCTAGCAGCAAATTCATAAAAAATAATGTTTACATTCACCATGAATTACCTTACAGACTCTTGATTAATGATTGACGCTCCTGACTTAGAAGTGGGTATATACTGGAATAAAAAAACAACCCATGAACTACTAGGAAGTGACATGGTTAAAGCAGTTGGAGATAGACACTAAAAATGCACATCTAATAGGGGTGCCCGTGCAGACACACTCTACCTACCTTTCTGGAAGGGTTAAGGATTGAGAGTGCACTATGATTTACTTTAGAAAATTATCTCTGGAATTTAAGGCATAAACTGAGAACAAGTAATACATGTTTATCTGTGGGTTTATTCTAAAAATCACTTTCTTAAGAGAAGACCTCTTTCACATTCAAATTTCATTTTCGGTAAGATTCTAAATTAATGTTTCTGTATTTCAATTCTAATATTCTTCATCTGAGTACTACAAACACTGTAACACAAATGCAAATCTGCCTACTACCCTGCCATTTCACAGCAACAACTGTTAATTAGAAGTTTTGGTCTCTGTGTTTCTGAAAACATCAATGAATATCCTGCTGCTTAGAGGAATAACAAAACCCAACCAAATTATAATTGTCTACAAAATTTAGAGGCAGTAGGCCGAAAAATGAAAAATGACAGATGTGCATGACTACCACTGAGATTTTTGTTACTCTCTCCAAATGACTACATAAACTCTGATTCAGTTTTTCCTGTTGTTTTTTTTTTTTTTTCTCCTATTATAGCACAACTTCAACCTCTAGTTGCTGAAGGAAGTCAGGCACTTAATTACCTTTCTGTGCCCTTCTAAGCACATAGCTTGAATATTAGGTTGGATGGCAGTGCACTTTCATCAACAAAATATAAAGTTGTTACCAAGGAAAAATCAACATATTAAAAAGAATAAAAATTCAGTACATTTTAAATTTTCAACTCACTGCCTAAAAGACACTGTAAAGATAACATTTAACTGATGGAAGTCTCAAGAACATAAAATTTGTCTAAGGATGTGAATAAAGAATTATGTGTCTTAAAGCAGAAGGTAAGCACAGATGTATACCTGCTACAGAATCTGTTTATACCACTGGGTAAAGAAATCATATTTTCTTGCACTTTGGAAGAACTAATAATCACTGGCATGACTACTCACATTGGTATTGCTACAGTGACTACACTTGACTATGCACTGTTATTGAAATCAACAGAAGGTAAAACTGTAACAGTGCACTACTGTTTTGAAAAATTGTATTACAACTCAATTCATCAGGAGCTACACTTATCAAAGCAACATAAGGTTTCATATCCTCTCCAACTTTTAAAGTCTTCTAAACGTCATTGTTTTGCTCAATCTTTTGATCATTTTCAACTTTCACAACTTTCCATCTAATAAGAAAAAAAAATCCCAATTTTAAAAAATCTCACAGCACTGAAAGTCAACAGCATGTAGAAAGACTGAAATTTCACTGTCACATTTTCTCTTGATTCCTTAAAAAGTACACATCAGCTGCCCACAGTTTTTATCCTAAATGCCATGTTGATGTAGTCACTGAAACAAGGAAGTCAAGATTTCATACTTCAAAATTGAAAGTATGATTGAATAATGGTATAAGTAGTTTAATTCTTACCTTTTCCAGGTTCCAACAAGACAGAATAAATATGCTGACGAGCAGGGCGGTAGATAAGTGCCTGTCCAGGAATCTCTCTATCACATTCATCTTCCAAAGAGTTGCTGCAGTCAATCTCTCCATTACTTAGGATATTGAAGATTGTATAATTTTCAGATTGGATATGCTGTTCTTTAGCTAACTGTTTGTTCAAAGAAGGAACAAGGCATTATCTCCAAAATTAAGAAGGATCATAAAGTAACAAAAAGTATTCACTCTTTCAGGAAATACTACTTCCTCTATCAGTGGAAATGGAGGGAATAGCCAGGGAGGGAACAAGTGCTTTTTCAAATAACACCCGTATAGTATATTTTTCAGAACTTTTATCTTTTTGTGGACAGGAATCCTCAGGAAACCTATCATCACCTTTCTTATCCCCTCCTTGAATTCTTAAAATTTGGGGGTTTTAATGACAGAGTAATTATTCTTAAAATGGATTCTGAATTCAGACATTAGAAAATGAGCTGCCCTCCTTTAGTCACCTGAAAAAGTACCTTCCCTCTTTAAATAGTAAGTGAAGACATGCCAAACCCCAAACTTTTAATTTTATTGCAAGATGAACTCCATAAGACAGATCCTTTTCTTTCCTGAGCTGATTTTGTGTAGTTTACATTGTGGTCAAATTAGAATACTTAACCTCACCACTTTTACCTTGCAATAGCTCTTTCCCAAGAAAAGAAATGCAATCTTCTCTAGTGAGGAAAACCAGGTGTGCAGGCTGTTGCTGAAAAGCAGAATCACAGCGTTACCCAGGCTGCATATTAATCATGCACTGGGTGCAGACACATCTGGCTATGGCAGCTAGCTACAAGCAGCCTTGGTACCAACAGGGACTGCTGGTCTGGAGCAGCTCAGATGCAGAAGCAACAAAGCTGCTCTCAGGCAGCACAGAATTTCAACCAGTAACACTTGTAACCCGGACTGGCCAAGTGCAGAGCCCAACAGACCTTCTACTTCACAACCTCAGACCAAAACTATGGGGGTGTCCAAGCAGCTGAGTGGAGCAAATTATTTCCATGAGGTACCCCTAATAAATTCTCCAGGACCCATGCCATATGGTGAGCAGGCACTGAAGTTTCTCTGCTCTGCATTCCCTGCATGTGTCATGCTCTCTGTGTTGTGGGTTGTGCCATCCATGCAGCTATGTCAGCCTCTTTCACTGGTTACCACCAGACCACCAGCCAGAGCCAAATTCACCATTTCTGCAGAACTCCAGTATCTGCAAATTTTGAAACTCAGCAGGTCAAAGCTGTAGTCAATCACTGGGACATGACTGAACAAAACTAGTTCTACTGAAATATCATACTTTCAGAAGAAATTCTCACACAAGCATAAAATCAGTGATTGGCTTCTGTGTACAATACCAATCAACAGAGCATTTTCTTACAACAATAAATTAATGGTTGCCCTGGAAGAAATCCTTCAGTATTTCTAATATACATAAACAATGTAATCCCCCAAATCTACTTTTGTATAAAACAAAACCAAAGAGTTTCTAAGCATGATTTGAACGAAGCACTGAACTATTTCAAGCAAACCACTGTCACAGATACAAGATCATTTGAAAATACTGGTTTCTTGCCATTTGCCAATAATCTACACATCCTAATGTACTGAAAAAAATACAAGCCGATTTCAAAAATATACAAGCTGATTTCACTGCTGTATTGTGCTGTATCTTGAAAAATATTTCTGATTTACAGTCAGCTAGAAAGTTATGCTTTTCTTTTCTGAAAGAAGCAGCAACACAAGGCTACGTCCTCAAGGTTGGAACTGAGCTATGTACGACATTTACGTGCAGTTCAGATTATGTGCAAGGTAAGCAGAACTACATATGGGTTTCAAATCATGAAGGCAAGCACACACACTACATATACCAATATTTAAATATCTGCAACAAAAAGAAAAAACAAGTTAACTTGTCTACAACTTTGACTGTGATTTCCTTGGCCCAGGGACTGGCTTAACATAGGATTTTGGCAGCAACAGCGAGGCGTTCTTCAGTGGAGTTTCTAAACATTATTTTATTACAGCAGTAGTTCAGCACGATGCTAGAGAACTGCAATCCTTCAAATGAAAGATCAAGCCAAGAAATAATGACCGCCTGTCATAAAGACGATACATTCTCTTAAGGAGTAAGGATATTACCACTGTTGTCCTGGCCATAGCCCATACTAGATAATTACATTCTGGCTGATTTTTCCTTGCACTTCAAGCATAAACAGTATTTTTCAACACTTTATTAGGATGCAGTGTTGCTGTTTTTTTAAATAATGTCTTCTGTTTAACTACTACAGTCAAAAGTGACATGTATTGTCTCTATGTGTGGTTAATAAAAAGCCAAAATATATCTGTAGTTTAGCCAAAATGAGCATTGCATAGGTTATAATGTAGTTTTAAAATGTTTTAGAGTGGTTTTAGAAAAGGAAAACGTAAATTATAGGATTAATTTAGAGTAATCTGAGGAAACTTAAAAATAGTTTCAAAGAAAATGCTCAAGAGACAGACACAAAAAAAAGGCTCTCTATTTGAAGTCTGTAGGTACCTAACAAAATAGGGAGTAATTGATGGCTAATACAGGGTCTAAAATACACTACCTCGTATAGATTCTTCTTTTTATCAAATCTCAGTATGTTATCTTAATTGCCATGAATTTATAGAACTCTACTCTAGACTTACTGCTATCACATAAATTCTGATGCATTGAAGAGGGTAGCTCTGTTTCTATCAGCCAGGTAGGCTACCCCAGCTAATAGATCCAGTCTCTCAGAGTGACCCTGTCTGACATACTGTTTCTTACCCCAACACCACCGCTTCTCTGCCCATGTGAGAAGCCATAAGAGAAACCTGCTAGTGGAGCCCTGTCTTTAAGGATTAACAAGCCACTCAAAGGGCTTTTGGTTCATTCAGGGACAATGTATCTACAGGATAATTAACTGATCCAAAAATCACAAAATACAGATTTATAGTAAGTTTCCTCATCTCCTCCACATGAGCAATTTCAACTTCTGTGTTCTTAGCACCGTTCCCTTTGGTACCTTGGCTGCATGTGCCAGCGACAGCCAAGCAGACCACTTGTCAGCTGGGGGCTCTCAAGGCAAAAAGTCATTACAGTGTGCAATATATGGGAAGTATATCTCTATGCCTACCTATAGGCCAATACAGGAGCTGCTGATTACCATTATTTGGCCTGCTTGATGCTTCAAAAAGAGAGGAACCACTTTTAATTAAATGCGTTGCATCTGTCCTCATCATCATGCATGTAACAGTCCTAACCATGGCTATATTTAACAGACAAAATATTTTGCTCAGCAAATTTAAATCAGTAAGTTCAGTGTACTCACACTCAAACTTACACTAAGTAGTCATGGCAATAAAGTGACCATTAAGCTTTAAAAAACAAAGTACCTGAAAGACTTCTTTATCTTGACACACTGCTGTTTGTTGTTGAAGGGAGAACATCTGGCAATTTGTTGTGTTGGGGGGAATCCATGGAGACTGCTGCCCTGGCAAAAGATAGGACTCCACTCCTTTGTAAAGTAACGTCTTGTCTGACCCCATAGGTAGTATCTCTTCCAAATCTTTCAGGCTACTGTATGAGCATGGAACTTTTGAGATGTAATTTGCTACAGCTAGAAGTATGTTTGTTCTTCTGTTGTAGCTGTTATTCTTGTGGGGACTGGTGGCTAAACACTTTTGCCAAAAGCCTTCCAGCAAGCTTTCTGGAACAACATCATTGCCAAGCAAGCAAGCAAAGAGAGGGAGGTGTGTCAAACTAAGACCCAATGCATGGCAAAGATCTTCTCGAGAGTACATAACAGTGACCAGTTTGTCCAAACGGAGCTTCTCTATGGAGAAGTAGGGGCATGTATTATAGATGAGGTAGTCACTATCTTGCCCAAGAATTCCTATGCAGTTATGTTGCAAACCATACACAGCCACCTCAAAGTCTGCCTCCTGCAATGTGCACACTGTTTTTTGGCCAAGAGACTTCAAGGCAAAACGTGTAAAAGTAGGCAAAGCTGAAGGAACAACAAACATTCCTCTCCCTGGTTGTTTCCTCTGAGTCTTGATAAAGTGAAATATTCTGGCTATCTCCTTGTTATTCTGCAACCTCCGTTTGATCCACTCATCTCTCTTTTTCTCTTCTACCACTCCATCAAAGTAAAACACCAACTGGATACCTGCTCCCATAAATGCCTTAATAAAATCCTCTAAATTGGCAAGGTACTCCCGCCACTGGCCTCCGCACACCCAGGATTCTGGGGTGTACCAGTATCTAACACAACTCATGGCATCCACTACAATAACAGGTGGGACATCAGGATGATCGATGCAATGTTTTTCTGCCATCTCTCTCAGATCTACCGTTCTGCAGGCGTCAGGGCAAACCCTTGCCACAAATCCTTGCAAACCTTTAATGCCCATGGCTGATCTCTGAAACTCACAGCCGAGTTGCACAGTCTGAAAGAAAAATAATAACAACATTCTAAAATGCAATACTGAGAAACATAATGAAATTCCACAATCAAAGAAAAGCAGCTTGGAATCTGAACAGTTAGTTTTCTGCTTTTGCTGATAGTTGCTTGTGTTGTCCCAGCCTTTAAACACTTTGAACCAGTATTCTTTCCATCATCAACAAACTGGACATTAAGTGTCCATTCAGTTTGCCTTCCACTTCTGCTTTTTACATCAGTGAAAACTGTAAATATCAAAAGGTTTTCATAAATAAGTCTTTAAAAATTTCAGACTGATAGCGTAAAATATAGAAAAGGCCACACTGCTAGAAAAACAAGTACAGATGTAATCAAAAGCTTTGTAACAGCTGACACAGGAATTAATGGCTTGATTTTCACACTAAAATTATACAAATATGTTTAACTGAAGCCAGCAGGAAAAACTACTAAATAACTTTGGAAATCAGTCTTGTACCTTGATTGTACAAATGGCTCAGTTACAATCTGACTTTATAGACAGTAGTCCATTGATATGGTACCAGTTGCAATACCTCTACTTCTGCAACAGTTTTGGCAGTAGCAGTTCTGCTTTGAATCAGAAATTCAAGCTATTTTACCATCTTGTCATTTGAAAACATAATTTTCAAGACCTCTTTAAACAATTAGAGGTTTACCTATATTTTGTGAATCTACAAATCTATCATTAATAGTGAAGTTAACATATTAAAGGTGATTTCTAACATGCACAGCAATTTTGAACCAATCTATCTGAAAAGACACATATACAAACTTCATCCAGAAATTAAATAATAAAAAATGGAATAAGCCTATTTTCAGTTTAAACAATACTAAAAGACTGAAGAGAGTCTCCAAATTCTGTGGCAGAACTCAATAGCATGCCAAATGAACCAATTCAGGCATTCCATAGAGACAATTGTGGGATAAAACTAAAACCATTGATGACCTCCATTTTTATTTCTATTAGTCTCAATACAAAGATGTTTGGCACAGCTTCTACATTAGATGTGCTCTTTCTTCTACTACAGCACCAATTTCCTCTAACACAGCACCGTTTTATTTTAAAGGACCTTGCAATGAAAAATTGAGGTAACAAGCTCCATCAAGCTTTTTCTTCTTCATTCTCAGAAAAACTTTTTTGTTTTATTTTATTTTACTCGAAAGTCAAATCCCTTCCCAGTTAAGCAGTGAAGAAATTCACGGTGTTTTAACTAAACAGGTACAATTTTTCCTGTTTTTCACACCGCCGATTCTGATATTTCAATTAGACTGTCTCAGGATTGCTACAATATACATGCTTACGGTATATGCCTTGGCTGCTACTAGAATTTTAATATTACTACTACACACATTTTCTGAAAGCATAACAAAGTTTATATTTTGTCAACCATCCTGTTTCACCTCTAAACAGTAACTGGCATCTTAAGGAAATCTCTAATCCATCACAGTAGCAGAAAAGAGAACAAGTAAAATCTACTGACTTGAGAAGTACTTTCATCAGAGGCACCTCAATAAAGCTGGCAGAATCAGGATCAAATTGTTTTACGTTGTGACGCTAAGTTTCCCAAGAGTGGAAAACGCACATTCTGCTCAACAGATGAACGTTGCCAGGCGTCTATTGCTGTTACTTGTGTGAAATGGAGATCTCGGGTTACCACAAGATTTCAACTGCACTACTTTCAACTGCATGAATCTGCAGGGGAACCTTTTCTCCACAAACTGAAACGATTAAAAAAACTTCCCCCTCCCCCAGTTTTATGCAGACACAAGAATTCAGAGAAATGACCCTTACAACAGTTGATGACACTATGTTTCATCTTGCCGGCAAGCAACTACGACCGTACAAATTTTATCACGCCCACAGTCATGTGCAACAGCATTAAGAAGGGCTGTCAGCAGAAACGCTCACAACCGCTCCAGCCCTCCCAAGACCCCCCGGCCAAGGCCTACAGCGCAAGGAAGGAGGCGCAAAGCCCCCGCTTCTGACGCGCAGCGGCGCAGAGCCAGGCCCGCGGCCCCCCACTGCCTTGAAGGGCCGGAGCCTGTCCCAGAGGGACGAGAGCGGCGGGCGGG